GGAGCAAAGTTGCTGCTGAAATGGCTCTGAACAAAATGGAGTAACTTAGGGAAGTTTGCTGAGCCAGTTCACAACCCCGGCTGGATCCAGAGCCCTGTGGTCTTTGGCATCCTAAGGAAGGACTGACTCAATTATTTTGTTGTGTCTGCTCTAGCCAAGAGCTACAGTAGATGAAAAGGACAGAGAAGATACAAAGAGAGAGAAAAATACTAAAGCAAAACCTGAAGATATTCATGACAGAGTATCAGTAGAATATTGAGGGAGATACAGACAATGATCTGTGTGTATAGAGATATTATTTAACATACATAGTTGGTGGCCTTCCATAGGTTCCACATCTGTGAATTCAAGCAACCTCAGAACAAAAATATTTGAGAAACAGTGTAAAACATTGAACGTGTAAAAACTTTTTAATTATAATTTCCTAAACAATATAGTATAACAACTATTCACATAGTCTTTATATTGTCTTAGAAATAATTTGAAGTAGTTTAAAGTGTAAGGGCAGATGAGCATAGGTCATACACAAGTACTATGAAGACTTCACAATGCATAGATTTGGGTCTACACAGGGAGTCTGGGAACGAATGTCCTGTGGACATCATGGGGCAACTATATATACACATACACAAATACACACACATACACACACACATGCTTGAATGGGTACAGGTGTGTGTAGATCTATGAACATAATGTGTATTGTACATATTTCATTGCTTCATTCTAATATAAAAAATGTAAGGACTCTATTGTACATGAATGTGTCATTCTTTCTTTGCATGTGTATGCATGTTCATATGTGTGTAAGTTTGTGTGTGTGTGTGTGTGTGTGTGTGTACAAAGGCCTGAAGACAACCCCATGAGTCATCAGAAACACCATCCATTTCCTTTGAGATGGGGTCTCTTGTTGGACTGGAGCTTGCCAACTAGGCTAGGCTGGCTGGCCAGGGCACCCAAGGCCCTCTTGTCTCCACCCCCAAGCTACAACTGGGATTAGAGGTACAGCCGAATCACCACACCCAGCATTTCTACATTGGTTCTGGGGTTCAACTCAGATTCCTCTGCTTCTGTATCAAACACTTTACTAGCTGAGACATCTCCCCAACCTGAATGTAAGTCATTTTCAAAACTGAATGACTAAGAGCATTGAAAAGCTGCTTCCTATTATGAAATGCACTTCACCCTTCTGAAGCAGGGATTGTTGAGAAATTGGTTTGTGACCACCTGTTGGGATTAGCAGCTTTCATTTTCTTCCTCTTGGTCTGTGGGGAGAGTGAGCTTGCTGTGCTGGGGAGATGGTGTCCTGTCCAGCTCAGACCCACCTCTGTGCCACTGGCCATGTTCTTCCTGAACACCTCATTCTCCGGCCCTGATTCACCCCTTCTCAATCCATCCTCCTCTTCCCAACCTGAGTAGACTAAGTACTGCCTGTTCCAGGGCTCCTCCTTGCTAACACAAGCCCATAGTTCTATCGGCCCTGTCTCAAATTCTAAATGACCGTAAAGTTATTCTGAATTGTCACTGAGGTTGCAATGAGGAGTCACTGAGTTAAGTTTCATAAACACTCCCAGTACCACATCTAAAAATGTGGTAGAGACACATACAGGAAAGCCATCATGTTTACAGCAAAAATCATACACAGCGAGACAAAAATAAAATGTATATTATTTCTTTGCAAAAACTTCTCATTTTATAACATTAGTGGAGCCTGCTGATAGAACACTTGGCAAGTATATACAAGGCCCTGAGTTCAGTCACCAGTCAGGGAAAGAGAGAGAGAGAGAGAGAGAGAGAGAGAAAACCTGTTTTTTTTCCTACACATTTTAATACTAGTGTGTCTTTCTGCCAGGCATGGTCCTAAGCACTGAGTGAGTGTTGAGTCATTTGCTCTTCACAGTTGCCCTAAGAGATGAGTTCCTCCACTATTCTATGTGACTATGAGAAGCTACATGGTTTGACAAATTGCCCACATTTTCACAGCAAAAGGGAGAAGCTGTGGGATGGACCCCATCTCCCTAATTCTCCTCCACCCCAATCCACCCCAGAAACTAAGCACATATCTGTGGAGACAAACAGGTCACCTTCAAGACAAGTGCTGTCCTTTCATCAGGGCTAAGGACATGTTCACATTTTGTCCCCTGTTCTATTTGGTCTGGCCAGCAGCTGAAGATGGAAGTGGACATACGGCTGGCTCTCCAAAGCCATCAGCTTCCTTCTCAGGTGCCCTAGAATTGGTTTCCTTGTTGAGTGACTCTTCAGACCTGATGAGCGTCTTTGATCTCTTTCCTCTATGGGAAATTAATTTGTGTCAGGAATTAAATTTTGTTTCCTTGGAAAGAATAAAGAGGTATTCAGACTTGAGAAGCTGGTCAAATTCTGTTCTTTCCAGGAAGTGGAGGGGAGTCCCTGGGGGAACAGGAATAGAAGTGGAGCAGACTTGAGCTGACTCCAGTCCCAGGCACTCAGGTCTGCTGCAAGGCCTGGCTCAGAAGAAAGACCTCAGCAACAGGTTTTCATCTGACACACAAAAACTTTGTTTCTGTGGCAGGGAGGCATCCTGGCCCTAGAGCTGGCTTAGCTCCCCCAGTCTCACTGAGACAGTTCTGTCCATTTGGTTAGTGACCCTCAAAGGATGTTTAAGCAGTGGGATCAACTTCTATATTCCCAATATGGATTTTATTCAGCTTTTAATAGATATTCTTGCTGGGTGTAAAATACTAATATTTAAAAATGCTGATTTTTAAGAGACTGATTCTTTCATTAAAAGCCATTACACTTGTGGTGATACAGGGGCAAAACTAGGTCCTCCCTACAGGGTCCTTAGTCTCCTTTATAAAAGAATTTAAGAATGCACTCAAAAGTAAGCTTTAGGACAATTTTATTCAAATTTAAGGAAAAATCTGCAGGGCAGGCAAGCCGTAAATTGCAGCATCAGCCTCGAGGAAGAGAATGGAGGAGAGAAGGAATAAAAACCACAAAGCCAGGCTGGTTTAGAGAACACAGAGAGGTCAGACAGACATCACAGGGCTGACTAGCAGCTACCTGGTGGGGAGGAGGAGGGAGCTTTAGAGAGAAAGTAAAGAAATCCAAGATATTGAGACAGCCCAAAGCCTTAAAGAGAGTATGCTTAGAACAGAGACATAGAAGAGAAAAGGAGAGAGTATGCCTTTCCGGAGAATTCAGAAAAGTGGGCAAAACTTATGGAGAGCCACATGTCTGCAGCTCCATCCACAAGAACTGCACTAAGGGGTGGGAATTCTGGGCAGGAAAAGCTCACCATCTCACTAACACACTAGGTATTCCACCCATCTCTTTAGCATCACCTAAGGTGAACCCACCTTCCTAGAGATGGTCCTATGACCAGGAAAACCAGAATGTTGGGTCTTTATTTGGGCCAGAGATTTTACTCTCCTGACCAGCCTTCTCCCGGGGGACTTCCAACCACTACAACAATGGGAAAACTGTTGGGTTTCCTGGTACCCACAGCCTCTATCCCAGGCCCCCAGAGGTCAGAGCTGCCCCTGTGCAAGGCTTCACCCCCATAGAGGAAATTCCTTGTCTGAGGCAGGGATTCTGAGCATGCACACTGCTGGGCAATGAGACTAATAGGCCCTGCTTCTGTACCCCTTGGGTAGCAACAGGATCCAGGAAGTATTTCCAAATCCATCAGTAAAACACACAACACTACTGAAGAAATACGTTATACAGTATGGACAGTGTTGTCCCTCGGTATTCATGGGAAAATTCACCCAGGACCTCCACGAGGGTCAACATGTAGGTGCTCGAGTCCCTTATATAAAATGGTGTAGTGTTTGCAATAGCCTACATGGATTCTCCCATGTACCTTAAACCATCTTTGGACCAGTTACAATACCTAAGGCTATGTATTTTTTAGGGAATAATGATAAGAAAAAATATTACACATTCAGCACACACATAACTTTTTTCTGAATTATTTTATAATTTGTGTGTATGTGCTTGTGTGCTTGTGTGTGTGTGTGTGTGCGATATCATGTGTATCTGCTCATTTATACCTATAAGTGCAGAGGCCAGAGGTCAATGTCAGCTCTCTGCTTCTATTGCTTGCCACTTTATTTTTTGAGACAGGGACTCTCGTTAAAGCTGGAGATCACCAATTCAGTTAAACTGGCTGGCTAATAAACCCCACAGATCCTCCTGTCTTCACCCTCACAAACAATGAGGTTACAGCATACACTGTAATGCCTAACATATATGTGGGTGCTAGGAATTTGAACTAGTCTGCATTT